AATGGTAAATTATATTAATAATTCTCAGGATATTTTTTGTTTTTATTATTTCAAATAAAATATCGCAAATAAACCATTTTACTAATAAAAATAAAATAATAACTGAAATAAAAATTAATTTAAAAAATTAAAATTGAATTACAAAATATTCAAATTAAAAATTAATAAAAAAATTTTTTTAAATTAAAAATTATAATGAAAATTAAAAAAATTAATAAAATTTAAATTTAAATAAAAAACTAACGATTAAAAATCAATGAAATTAAACATATTTTCAAAAATATATGTAATTTTTGAAAAATGTTTTTTTTTTTAAATTAGACTTTAAACATTTATTTTATTTTAATGTAAAATTGTAGGTATGTTATGGCGAAAAACAGAAATATAAAAAAAAATCTGCAAGTATATATTATTATATATATATATATATTTGACATTATATTGTGTAATTTCGCAGGAGCAATTTTTCTTTCCTGTTTACCACGGGAAGTCTAGTTTAATCTGCCAGTGGCAGATGCTACATAAGTTTTTCTTACGTAAGAAAAAATCTCGCACAATGTGCGTCAAATGTGAAGGGTGCTAAAGAAAAAAAAGTTTATTTCACTAACATAATAATTTCTACGTGTGTTTCATTAATTTTAGTTGAAACAACAAAATTTTTCAAAATACAGTAATACAAAATTTTTACTAAAATTAGAAAAAATAATATTATTTCCAATAATATTTAATTAATTAATTAATTAATAATAATAATAATAATAAATTAATTTTAAATAATAAATTTATTAAAAATAGTAATTAATTAATTTGAATAATAATTTTTATTTAAATTTAACGAATATTTTTCTATCATTATACAGAATGAATAATTTTCTAATTGCAATCATTAAAAATTTTCATTATTTTTTAAATTATATTAAAAATTATTTTATACGTAAAAATATTTTTTATATCATTTTTACTTTCAGAAATTGCAATGTTTAATAAAAAGTTAAGAATTTTTTTTTTTTTTATTTTCTTCGCAGTGACATTTAAAAGTATATAGATATATAATATTACATATAATATAATTAAAAGCAAAAAGTATAAAAAATATAACTTATATATACAGACTTTTGAAAAGTTTATCTATTTTGACGCATTTCCTTACAATTACAAACTTCTAATTAAAAAAGTTCTATTTCTTTTGAAGTTTTTGAAGTTTTTAAATTATGCAAAACTCTATTTTATTAAATTGTTAATAAAAAAAAAATTTTTTTTAATTAAATAAGTATAAAAAACTTGTTGAATTTGTAAAAAGTTTTAGCTGATCGACGTTACATATTATATTCTGAAATATACTCGGCTGAAAGTTTGTTTTTTTTAAATTAAAGAACATGAAATAAAATAAAAATTTTTTTTTTCAAAAAAAAATTACAACAAAAAATTTAATGAAGAAAGGAAATTGAATTAAAAAAAAAAGTTGAGAAAAATTCTATTTCTATATATATATGATTTATTCTCTTTATGTACGACGATAAGTATAAATATTAATTTTTTTTTTTTGTTTTCATAAAAACATTACAACAATTTTGTTACAGGAAACGATGCGTATATAATAGTCTTATGTACAGTGATTATACATTGAATTGCATAAATCGCATTTTTTTTTTATATTACATATTTATATAAAAAGAAAAGCTCGCAATTATAAACGAACTTTTTATAAATAATTTTTTATTTCTTAATGAAAATTATCCACTGGCAGCATTTAGGATTCTAAATTTTTTTTTCTTTAAATACCTTTTTTTTATACTTATTACATATTGCTTTGATCTAATAATTTTTTCTAAAATTATTTTTTCAAATTACACGAATTTCGTAGATTTAATTATTATATCTATTTTTCGAAACTATCATTGAAAATGTAAATTTGCATTAAACCTAGTACTATTTTTTTTATATAAATTTTTCTGCCTAATTTTTAAAATATCGAATACTTATTTAAGATAAATAATTTTTCTTTTGTTAAAACGATTGTTCTTTATATAATTTTCTTTTCATTATTCATTTATTTTTTTTTTAAATATCATTTCCTAGATTCTGTGAACCATTTTTTCATATAATTATTTTCTTTTGAAGAGAAAATTAGTTGGAAATGCATTCTTTTCACGCATTTATTTCCTTTTTGGCTTCATTTTTTTTTTATTATTGTACACGATTTCACAGTCGGATAAACTGGAAAAATTCTCTTAATTAAAATTTATTCAGTTAATTATTTTCCATTTTCATAAATCAGTTGTCTCTTATTTCTTATCTCTTATTCTTGAACACATATATATAAATAATAATAAAAAAAAATTTTTTTTATTAAAAAAAAAAGTTGCACTTTAAATTAATTTTCTCTTCAGAATTTCAAATAAATTTACAATATTTTTTTTTTAATAATAAAACTAATATTTCGTTTTTAGTAAATTTTTTAAAAAATCGATTTTATCTGATTTAAATATTTATTTTTTGGCACAAAGGTTTAATTTATATAAAAATCAATTAATGAATAAAATTAATGAAATTATAATGGGAAGTACACTTATTTTCTGATTTCAAAAAAAAGAATTATATTTTGAATCTCAATCATTTTACGTAAGGCAAAATTAATTATATTCTTATCTCATATTTGGTCAAGAGATATTTTTAAATTATTTTTTCCCTTTTTTTTATACAAGTACATGTACACTATTTACACTCGCAAAAAAAAAATTTAATTAAAAAATAATTGGTCTTGGAATGTTGAATAAAACAAAACAAATAAAAAGGATTGTTTATTGCAGTACAAAAGAAAAATTATCGCAAAAGAAATGAAGAGACATTTTTGTATTTTCGATTTTGTTCCTTTCTTTTTTTTTTTTAAACAAATAAAACACAATGGACGAAAATATAATACTGAAGGAAGCAAAGATAACAAAAATTGAAAATTTTAAAATCCTTAATAATAAAACTGTTATTTTTCGATTAATCATTTTGTTCATTATTATATATAATATCTGTGCGAGGTATTATATGGCAGAGTCCAATATTCTGTTTTTTTTTATAAATTTCAAAAGTTCTTTATAATAAATGTAAATAAAATGAAATTTTTGAATTTAAATTATTTACAAAACAGAATATTGGTATTGTATATTAACAAAAATGAACGTTGAACAATTTACACTGATATTACATACAAAATAGCGTAGTAAATTGTAAATTTTGGGTTTAGCAAAAATTAACAAAAAGAAATATTTGTATTGTTCGTCAAACAAAAAGAAAAAATATTTTTAAATTTTTTTAGCTTCTTTTTATATCACGGAGAAATTGTATACAAATTTTTATCCAGTTCAATAGGAATTTTTTTTTTTTTTTTAATTACTTTAAAAAGAAATATAAAAATTGTACTGCATTACAAAAACAAACAAAAAAAAAAACTTGAAACAATACGAGTAATTGCATAAGCACAGCCTTTGCTAAACCCATTTCTAATAATCTTGACGGCACATTATTAGTAACTTATAACTTATCACTAATTAACATCATGTCAACAGTGTCAAAATTGTAGTTACTTATTACACAACTAACAAGTAGAAACTAATTTTAAATCATTTTTCCATATAATAAGCAACAAATTAGTGCATTTAGCAAAATTAAAGAATTAGAATATTAATGAAAATTAGGGGAAAAAATTAATTTAATTAGAAAATCGAAAATATACATTTGTTTTTAGTAAAGTTAAGGCCAGTTTAAAAGAAAAAAAACAATTTGAAAAAAAATTAATATCCAATTTTGAGAATTTAAAATAAAATTATAAAAAAATTTATTTTTCACTGCCCTTGAGAATAAAAAATAAATTTTTTTTATTTAAAATTTTATCGGAAAATATTTTTTTTTTTTTCATTATTATTTATAGGAAAAATATTCCAGAATAATAATATGTAGAAAAATCAGTTTTTCTCAGATTTATATAAAAGAAATTGTATTCCCTTGAAAAACAAAAAAAAATTCGCAAAAAATGAACACATATTTTCAGTTATACAAGTTAAATTCTATATTCATATTCTATATAATATTAATTTGTGGCAGTATTTAATTCCGCACAACAGATTTCTTTTTTTTTTTTTTTTTTTTTAATTCAAGCGTTTCGTTTTTATTTATATATAAAAAAATAGCAACCAAGTCTCTATACGAGGATGTCATTCAAGAACACACTTTGTTTTTTAGTAAACTGGCGTAGAAAGTGGTTTAACTATTTTTACAGAGAATTTTTGTAAGCAAAGAAAAATTATATTATAAGTGACAATTCGAAGGTATGAAAACGTTTGAGTGACATCCGATTTCTTTTTTATAATCACATTTAGTTGAGTGAAATAAAATATATAACAGGGACGTGACAAAAAAAAAACTTTTTTTCTTCTTAATAAGCTAGGAACATCTCTACAGTATATTACATCTAAGAGATAATATCACTTTTCGTGTTGTCTTTACTCACATATTCTCGCTCTATCTCTCTCTCTTTTTTTACATTTTCGCAAAATATCCACACTGATATAGTTCAAAATATTTCTGCTCTGGAAGCGATCTCACTTTATACAGTAAAGCTGTGATCGTGAAAATATTTTATTTAGTACTCTAAAATTTTTATTAAATATTTCTTTCAGATGAAACAAATTATTGCCTTCGATTATCAGATTATCACATTCTTTTGTTTTTGTAACCTGAATTTGTCTCATTTAGTTTAAAATATAATATTATAAATAATATATTATTTAATATATTATTATTTAATAATTATGTAATAATTATTTAGTAATTATTTAATAACAATATATTTATAATAATTATTTACAATAATGTCAATATATTTATATTTTGTAATATATTATTTATATTTAACTTTCACGTTCACAACTCCACCGAGAGATTTTATATTTTTTCTTTTGTGCTCTCGCTGTTTTTCCTATAGCTGAAATTTTTTTTCTTTCTCTCTCTCTCTCTCTCTCTCTCTCGCAATTGATAAAATTATTTTTCTAATACAATATAAGACATGACAACTTTCGCTGTTTGTCCAGTCACGAGCTTTATTATTCATAGTTTTTTTTTTTTTTTTTTTTTTCTTAAACTGGAATGTATTTCGAGCAAAATAAAAATAGGAGCGTCCGCTTGTTCTTTTATCACTTTTTTTTCTATCATGATCAATAAAATGCTCAGTTTGTTATTTTTACACTGAAGCAAAAAATTAGTGGAAGTTATTATTATTCGATAAAAATTATTCTCACTAGGTTTATTTAATAATGTTTTGGCTACCTACTTTAATTAAATACTCATTTTAAATGAAAAAAAAAAAAAATTTTTTTATCAATAAATAAAAAGAATTAAACATTGAATACATTTTTTTGTTTGTATAAATAGACACAAGAATTGTAAAATATTTAATAATAATAATTCTCTAAAAAAAACTTTTAAAAGTAAAACAATTTTTTCAAATTTTAATTTTAAATTATTATTATTATCATTTTAGATCATTTTTATATCAGGATTGTCGAAATTCAGTCGGGAGAATATTCTAAATTTTTACATGTAGTAATTTCTAACTATCGCTTTTTTTATATTTAATTTTTTTTTTCTTTTTTGCAAGAGGAAATAATATCCGACAACTTTTTGCTCAGTGTACAACGATCATTATTATATATTTATATATACGAGCGGAATAATAGGAAAGTCTATTTTTTTTTTTTAATAATTATACTTATAAATTAACGGCCCTAAAATATCGCTAGAAGCAAAAAATTTACCCTGCGGCAATGTTGGCCAGACAATGCCGCGCCCCCACGAAGCCACGTTGATTGACTCGAAAACCTTGATTAACCTTCAACTTTCAAAGTTGAATAACTCGATATCGGTTTTTCCCAATTAGCCACATTTTTTCTTTTTTATTCTCACCTTTAATAATACGTTATATGAACCGTTAAGTTTGTCCCTGAGCCAGCCATAATTTTTTTTTTATCTCTCGTCAAAGATGCGTCACAATTTTTTATAGAAATCGGAAAATTAAATTAAATGTTAATTAATATAATAAATAATTTTCTAAGTTGAAATAGAACTTGTCATTTGCATGTTAATAATTAATTATATTAAAAATAAAATAAATTTTTAATAAAAATTTCCGCTTGAATTATTGCAAAAATGGATTAATTAATTCAAGTATGCGAGAAAAATTGGAGCACTTTTTTTTTACCTCTAATAAAATATTCAGATGATACTATTTTTCTTTGATATTCTAATAAAATTGACGACATCCTTGGCCGAGATTACTATGCTGGGGGAAAAAAAATGGAATATTGAACACAGACTATAATCTAATGATTTAACAATTTCGTAAGCTCCTAAAAGCTTCCATTAATCCATTGATTATGTGGCGACAATTTAAAGTGTGTCGAAAATTGTCGAAGCTTGCACTAGATGAAAAGCACCTTGGATGTTTCACTATAGTGAAAATACCTTACCACACAATGGACGGAACGTGTGTTTATATATATATATATATATATTTTATATATTAATAACTTCCGTTACGATTTATTGCGACTCGTGAAATTTACGCTATTTACAACAAATGTGTATTAACGTGCGAGTAAGGTACGTACATACAAAAGATTCGCTCCTTGCAGAGAAATTGTCTTATTACAACAATTCACATCCATTTTGCATCACACGTCACTAATGAGTGCAATCTTCGTCAATTTTCACACAATTTATAAAAAATAAATTATAAATATTACAAAATATGGAATCGAATAAAAGCACATATTATAAACCGACATCTATTCGTTTCCATTTACAATGATTTTTTTTTTCTTCATTCATTTCAAGAAAAATTTTGCATAATTCAAATATAAATAATTTCTAAAATAAAAATTGTACGTCAATCGATTTTTCTATTTTTGCATATAGGTAAGGAAAAACAATTTTCTAAATTTTCCAACATGAGGCGAATAATTTTAAAAAATATTTTTTTCATGAAAAAATAGAATTAATTTTGAAAAAAAGAAATTTGAAAAAAATAAACGACAGTTTTTAAATAAAGTCCGACAATTTTTAAATGTCAAAAATAGTGGAAAAATTCGAGAAAAATTTTTCTTACCTATTTACAATTAAAACATTATTTGCAGATTTTTGAAATTATTCAGTTCTTGAGGAAAAAAAAAAAATAACAAACTATCGGCTAATATTCGTGGAACAATAATGTTGACAACGCAGTTTTTCGATTTTTAAGAATTTTTTTTAGAATATTTCTATATTATTTGTTGACTTATTTTCTGAGATGTTGTCTCTCTGTGTATGTGGTGAGATGGGGAAAAAACGATGTCGATATTTATCTTGGCTTTTATGGTCTTCACAAACGTGGTAGGTCAGCATCCTTGATCAGTATAAGATGCTAAACTGCCGTGGGGGCCCTCGAATGTCAATGCCACTTCGCTTTTTGTACGAATATATCCGCCCGCAGATTTTGAGCGAAACAAATACCAACGATCTGAAAAAGAATGAAAGTATTAATTTTTTCTTTTTTAAATTTAACGTTTCCAAAAGATGACCATCAAAAAAAAATTGAATTCTTTCATTTTTTTTTCTTCTTTATTTACTTGTTTCATTAATTTTCTCTACAAATTTTTTGTACAGTCATCTTGTTATTTTTATACAACAACAAAAAAAACACACTGAAATACAAATTTAAAAGTAAATTTTTCGTTCTTTCGATAAAATTATTAATTTAAAAAAAAAATATTAGAATTCTTTATTTGAAAAAAAGTTTCAAAATTCATTTTTAGAAATACAATTATCATTGTTTTGATTCAGGGTGTTATTTTTTTTCAACAAAATTCTACAAAAACTAATTCTAATATTATGTATATTAAAATATTATCAAAAAATTATTATATAATACTTTTTAAAAAATTTCACACTCACGATGTTTACATCTAAGCAATATATTTTACAAGCAACTATAATTATACTTTTGAAAATTATTTGTGCAAGTAGACATCATTCAATGTTATAATAAAGCTCACCTCAATTTTCGAAGATAATTACATCCTTGACTTAATAAAAAAAAATTACATTTTGTTTTTTTCTTCTTCGGTATTTGATTAAAAATAATTCATCCAAAATAATGAATTAAAAATAATTAAAAGTAATTAAAAATAAAATAAATATAAAAATAAAAAAATAAATGTAATAATTAATTAAAACTGAAAATAAATTAAAAATAAAATAGAATGTAAAAAAAATTTAATTTAACGAAAATTGAATAATGTTGATAATAATTATTAGAAAATTAATTATCTTATTAGCTCAAATGAATGTGAAACTAAAATTACATTTAAATTCAAGCTAAATGAAACTTTGATGCGGTTTGCAAACAGATTTGAAATTCATTTTAAAGCTGTTATTACATAACAATATAAACTGTATATTAACTGACTAAACCAGAAACCTCACTTAGCCATAACTATATATATACACAGCGAGAGTTTCTAATTATAATATCCAAATTATACATATATCTCACTATTTCGAAAATAATTCTATATAATGTAAAAACAATGCCTCATTCAAAATCTTAATTTTTCTAATTTCTTTTTTGAATATTCTTTTTTTATTACGATTTTAATTATTCAAATAAATATTTTCAAAAAGAAAACAAAAAAACTCAAAATTAAATTTTCAAATATAAAAATAACAAAAAAGGAAAAAACAATTTTTTTCGAATTGTATGAGAAAAAAATTGTAATAAATAAATTTTCAATTTTAGTTGTAAAATATTAAAATTGGAAATTTTTTTTTTTTTAATTTTGTTGATAGAAATATACCTGAATAAATGCCATTCCAACAACACCAGTGGCTATAGCAAGAAGATTTCTCTCCATCCACTCTTCTCCCGCTTGAACGCACCCTTTTTCATATATTACTTTGCCGACATCAAAGTTCTGAAAACAAACATAATTGTCTACTGCTTACCAATCTAGAAGAACACTTTTATAGTTGTCGAGAGAGACTGGAAGCTGGAGGAAAATTTCTCCTGAAAGCTGCGCTTTTTTTTTTTTTTTAATATTGCGACAAATGCAAATAAAAAAAAAAATGTTTTCTTTGAAATAAAAAAGAATTCCATAAAAAATTTTAATTTGTTTTTTATAATTTATAAATTGAGCAATATCGCATTTTACTGACAAAAGTTTCAAAATAAAATTTGCACTGAAAAAAAATTATTTGATTCAAATAAAAATTATTTGGTCCAAATAAATATTTAATTGTACCAAATGATTTTTTTTCAATATACTTTAAGATATAGTAAAATTTTATTTTATTAGAATTAGGATTTTTTAAAATTATTTCTATTTATAAAAAAAGCAATTTTATATTTTTGACCCACCGGAAATTTAATTTTCGAAATTAATTAAATTTTTATGTTGTTTTTTCAAAATGACGTCTTAAATTAAAAAAAAAAAAGAAAGAAAGAAATAAGTTCCGTAAAAGGATGGTTTTAGAAATTTTCCTTTTATAAATTTTTAATTAAACTTCTCGTATTAAAATTAATTTTCTCAAAAGAAGCTTAAAGATTCCGAGTACTTTTATAAGTTTCAGAGAGAGAGAGAGAGAGAGAGAGAGAGAGAGCAACCATTTCTTAATTCATTAAAATTGTTTCTCTAAATACAAAGCATATAGCATCGAAAAAAGTATTAAAAAATCAATTTCTTTTTGGTATCAAATAAATATTTATTTGTATCAAATAATATATTAAAAATAATTTTTATTTGAAACAAATAAAATTTAATTAATTTCAAAATTATTTTATCATTTTTATAAAAATTTAAATATAACATAAAAATTATAATTGAACAAAAACGAATTGAAAAAATAAAAATGGTAAATAAAAAAAAGTAAATGACATCAAAGTCGTGACTTCTTTTTTTGCCAGAAATATCACGAGAGGGTCAAATTGCAATTTACTAAGTGTCACAATATTTCATACAACTGGGGGAGAATAAATTAGGCTCTTTGATTATGGGGACATGAGAAAAACTTTGCTATTATTTTCTCGCGTGTTAAACGAACATAAAGAAATGTTGGCTTTCAACGGAAATTGTCGCTTGAAATTTCGATTCTAAAGGTGCGCAGGGATTATAATACTTTTTTTTTTTTTTTATCATTCCTTTAAGAAAATTAAACTTCTCAGAAAAAACTAAAAAAAAAAAAAATAGCTTCTTTTTTTTCACTATGCACACATACACAAAAATTCTCATTATCTCTCCGATTCAAAGATCAAAATCCCTAACGTTCCAGTTACATTTTATGAATCTTAATGAAGGTCTCTCTCTCTCTCTTTCTCTTGGATTCCTTTACTTTTAATGACAATCACCATTTGCAGGAGGAGAGGGGGGGGAGGGAGGATGAAAGCAATTAAAAATCTAATTAATCCTGGATTTATCAGTTAAGTTATATAACTCCCTTTGCAGTGTGCGCACAAGGGAAATTGTCGGATTAAATATCTATCTTCAAAAGCCCAAAGGTACAAGAAAAAAAAAAAATTTTGCAAAACACTATATATATACATACGTGACGGTGCTTTCAAAACAAAATTTACATGCAATTTTTATAGAACAATAAATACAATATTTTTACGAACATGTAGTAAAAAATAAATGAAACTTTGTGTTTTTTATTCAATTCATTTTTGATAACTTTTTGCTTGTTTATAATTATTAATTTTTATAATTGTTTGTTTTTAAATTTTAATAATTATTTACTTATTAATTTGTAATGTATTTGTAATTTGTTTTTGTAATTATTTTTTTATTTATTACTTTTTTTGTGATTTTTTATTTATATTTATTAATTTTTATAATTTTCTAAATTTTTAATACCAAGTAATGTTTTTTTTTTTTTTACTAAAATATAACTTTAAAAAAATATTTATTGGGAAATTTTCTTTGACTCAAAGAAATTTTTTTTTGAGCCATTAAAGAACCAACTGTAAATTAGAAATTTACTAATTTAATTGTTATTAAAGGTTTTTTTTTAAATTTATATTAAGAAAAATAAAAATTTTTTTTTTTAATTTAATTTTTTTGATGATATTTTTTTTTAGAAAAATTTAAGTAGATCTATAAATTTATAAATATGCCTTAAAATTAGTACATTGAATTGAATAAAAAATACAAGAGATAAATATCTTCTAAAGTTTCATGATGGTGGGAATATAAAAAATATTCTCTTGTCAACTCGAGTGATACCTGTAAGACCATCGTGCTGACAATCATACCCGCTACAGGTACAAGATTCATTTCTAACCACTCTTCTCCTGCCCTTAGGCAACCTCTTTCAAATATACTCCTTTCTCCCGGCTGCATTTCCCGAAGGATTCAAAAAATATTCAGTTAAAAACTATTATAAAAAACACATTTTATTTTATTTTATTTTTAAAGACAAATTAAAAGCTCTGCAGTTTCAAAAAAAATATTTCCTCACATTAGCTTTCTCTCTATATATAAAAAATTGAGAATTATTTACACAAATTGACTTTTTAGCTTCTTTCTACTAAAATTGATGAAAAAAAACTACACTGAAAAGTAAATTTAATTGATTCAAATAATCGGTTACATAATTATTATCTAATAAATTTTTTTTTTGTATCAAATAAATATCTATTTGTATCAAATTATTTTTTATTTGTATTAAATTATTTTTTATTTGTATCAAATAATTTTTATTTTTTAACAAATATTTTTTTATTTGTATCAAATAATTTTCTATTTCTATAAAATAATTTTTATTTTTTATCAAATATTTTTTTATTTGTATCAAATAATTTTTTATTTCTATAAAATAATTTTTTTTATACTTATTGAGAAAGTGTTACAAATGAAAAAAATTTATTTGATTCAAATAATTGGTTACTTGACTTCATATCAATATTTCCTTGAATCAAATAATTTTTAAGTCAATTAAATTTTGTTTCAAATAGTTTATTTGATTCAAATAAAAATTTATTTGATAAAAAATAAAAATTTTATACAATTATTTAATACAATAAGGACTTTTTAGCTACTTTTCACAAAAAAATTAATAACAAAAAAAAAATAAATAACTATCATTGCTTTTCAAAGAAAAGAAAAAAGAATTTCTCAACATCATTTTGAAGAGAATAGAAACGAGAAACTTAAATAAAATAGAGAATTGAGATAGAAAGAAGGGGGGTCATTTTCAGAGGAAAATACACGTTTTCTATTTTTCTTCTACTTGCCATTCTCTTCTCTTCTATTCTATTTATCTATCTGTTGAGTTGCAGGTTGAGTTTCAGTTAAAAACAGGGTTGAATGAAAAAAAAACAAAATAAAAACTGAAAACTATATAAAAGGACGAGTTCCTTGTAAAAGGTTCTTTATATATTTTCGTACAAAAATACTTCAAATGTGAAGAAAACATTTAACTCGAATTTTTTTTAAATAAAATTGCGGTTTAAAGAGAAAAACCAAAAAAAGCGAAATAAATATTTAAATTACAATTTAGAAAATGATTTTTATTTTTTTAGTCAAAAAAAAAGGAAAATAAAAAAAGGGGTTTCTATTTATTTATTTAATAAAATTTTATTTTAATTCTAAAACTAATTTTAATTAAAAAAAAAATTTTTTTAATTTATTTAATCTGTTTTAAAAATTTTTTATTCGAAAACGTAATGAATAAAAACAATTTTTCTTATGATATCTATTTTCAGTTTGCCATGTAAGGTATTGTTAGCAGTGACCAGTGATAAATGGGAGACTCGTTTTTAATCTGAGCTTTAGATAAGAGTTTGGAGAGGGAGAGAGAAAAATTTTTTTTTTACTGGATCATCGCATGCACAACGACCATACACAATATATATATATATATAATTGCCTGGAGAGTATACGTTGTAACTCTGCTGACAGTAAAGCGATAACAGCGATAATTGGCAGACAAGTACATTTTGGTGGATCCTCGCGAAAGCCATTAAGTGGGTCTCTCTCGTGAAAACAAACCCACAGCTAGAGGTATATATATATATATACAAACATAGAAGTCGGTTTTCTAAAGTTCTTATCCTTGCCCCATTTTCTCTCTAATTAAGTTCTAGGTTTCTTAGAGCCCAATAGTTTTTGTCGGTGCGCGCTCGTCCGACATTATAATCATCTTCACTTGAAACGAGAGAAACTCTGAAAACTTTCCCCTATATCCTTTCATTTCGCAAAAAAAAGCAAAAAAAAAAACCCCCACTTTAAAAACAAAACTGTTAGAAATTAATTTTATTTCGCCAATTCTTGTGAATTAATTTCTTTCTTGAATTTCAGAAACAAAAACAGGTTAAGATTTTTTTTTAAATTTTTATCTACTAAAGAAAAAAAAAAATATTAAAAAAATCCAAAAACAAAACTAAATAAATAGGTCAATAAATTGGAAATTAATTTTATTTCTCCAATTTTAGTGAATTAATTTATTTATTTCTTGAATTTCAGTAAAAAACGATTTTTTTTATAAATAAAACCACTTTAAAAAAAAAAAATAAAAAAAACCGGTTGGAAATTAATTTTATTTCGCGAATTTTTGTGAATTTTTTTTTCTTGAATCAGAAAAAAACAAGGTACGTTTTTTTATATATATATAGTGTGTATGGTTGAATATGCTAAGAAGCTAAAAAGTCTCAGAATTTTGCTTTTTTCGTAATTAAAAAAAGCATGTAATTTTTTTTTTCTAAAAACTGATGAATAATTATAATTTTATATTATAAATTTTCTTTTTATATATATAAATTTAATACTTACATAACCGGGTTTTCTTACGTCATAGCCACACTGCTTATTTTTTATAATTTCCTGCAATTTCAAATTGATTATTAATTTCGCAAGAAAATTAAGGGCATGCGATACATTATTGACGTCACTTCATATGAAACTTTAAAATTAAAAAAATATCACTTTGTTTCGTTAATTAATGTATTTTTTTTTTTGAAAACCTGTTTTTTTCTTTCTCCAAAAAAAGTAGAAAAAATAATTTATAAGAGTCTGACTACTATTAAATTATTTTTTTTGCAATTATACACAAAGGCAATAATTTATTTAACTTATTTTATCTTCAAACAACTGCTGCAAACACAATATTAATGTAAAATTTATTGTCTGACTTAAATTATCTTTTACTACTGAAATTAAAATTATGAGAAATTTTTAACCTATTTTTGTCAGAAAAAAATTTACTTCTATTACCATGAGAAAAAAAAATTGCAAAAATTTAGAAAGTCTGACTTAAATTGACTTTTACTACTGTTTTCTAAATAAAAGCTACTCTGTATGACTATAATGGACTTTTACTATCTGAAAAATTAGAAATTTAAAAAAATAGAAATTAAAATTAAATTTTAATTTTTTATAAAATTATTAACAAAATCTACTTTTTACCAATAATGATAGAAAAATTTTCAAAGTCTGACTAAAGCGACTTTTACTACTGCTATTGTCAAAGTTTATACATGAGCACTTTGTCTGACTATCATTGACCTTTACTACTAGTCATACAAAAAATAAAACGAATTTGTCCATATTTTGTATATTGATACTACAATACAAAAATTATATATAATTTCAAAAATTGTTTTGTCTGCGCCTAAAACTTTTCTTTACTACTGAAAAAATTACACAATGAAGAGATATAATAGGGAAAAATTTTACAATTAGCACTTTGTTAATTATATTTTCAAATTCATAATTTTTATATTTAATTGTAAAAAATATTTTTTAGTAAATAAAAAATATAAATAAAATTCCAAAAAAAAAAGTTATCAGTGATTTTAGCCAAAAATTTATTTTTTCTTAAAAAATTACTTTTGTAAATAATTGATAACGTCATAATGTTGGGCACGCCTTTTGTGATAAAAAAAATTATATATTAAAAATTTGAGTATAGAAAAAATTGGAGAAAAACAGTTTTTTTCTCATTTTTAGGAGATAAAGTATATTTTTATCTTTCTTCTAACTACGAGGATAACAAATAAATAAATAATTAAATAAAAAAATGAATAAATAAATATGAATGAAGAAAATAAAAAAAAAGATTATTTTTTTATATGGACCTAAAATTAAAAATAAATTTTTGTAAAAGAAATGTTTTCTTTTTTTTTTTTTTTTTTGTTCTTACATTAGGTTTTCGCTTGCAACAGCTAAAAGGCACGCCGCAGGCTTCCCTGGAGCCAATTTCGCTCGAAGAACAATTGAAATAGTTGTTGCGATCCCAATCCTTTGGACCTTCGATACCGCAACACTGCAACTGGAATTCAATAGTAACATTGTTCACATACAATTCACGGATTTTTCAAGACTTCTTTTCATATATATGAAGGCACGAGGAACATTTCAGGTAAAACTTTTCGTATATCAATACAGTATTCTTTTTTCTTTTTCAATTTCTCCTCGATCGATTTTTAACATTTATTTACATATGAAAACAAAAAAATATATATATATATATATATTTAAACAATATTTTAATGAAAAATATATATTTAAATTTTGAAATAATCTAATAATATAAATTAAAATTGTCAGACATTTTTTTTTAAATATCAAAATCATGTAAAATTAATTTCGAATAAATATTTCAATAAAATATTTTATTGAAATGTATTGTATATATTAAAATTATATAATTATTGATAACCATATTTTTGCACAATTGTGGGAGTGAAATTATTTTATGATCCTCGATATATATATATATGTTTATAGATATCCGAGAAATGCGATATTAAAAAACGTGCTCTAATAGAAGCAGCTTTGGAAACATAGTGGGAATGCATATGAATTTCAAACACGATCGTAAATAATTTCTCAAGTAGAATCGAGACGATGCAAATATTAAATACCCGATTTAATATGGCAAAATAGTTCCGAGATAAAAACAAAAATGAAAATAGTAACAAAAAAAAAGAAAGAAAGAAAAAAATCAGAAATAGAAAGAAAGGAATTAAAATTAGCAAAATACTCAAATTTTTTCTAATTATAAAACCCATGAAAAAAAAGTTAAGATGAAAAACGATTATTGCAATAATAAATGAAATAATTAATTAATTAAAAAAATAATAAATAAATAATAAATATATTTCCAAAAAAAGAATATAATTTAGAGAATAAATAAAAATTTGTAAAATAAAAAATTTTTTAAATGTAAAAAGTAAATAAAAAAAATAATTAAAACTAAAAAAATATTGCTTACCCAATCTTCTTGAATCCAATCAATAAGATTCTGTTGATCAGGATCTTCTCGGTAATGAATAATGAAGGCTTGAAAGCCCCCCGTCGCTTGTGACTTTATCTGATATAATAAAAAATTATTTAATAACTCAATTTTATAATAATAATAATAATAATAATAATTTTTTACACTCTGCTATATAAAAGATTTGAGTAGACTATAAAAACAGAAATACTGCGCATAAAGAATTAAAAACTAATTAACAGAAATGAAAAATTAAAATTTATTGCAAATAATTAATTAACTAATGCAAAAAATTAGTGGCTTACCCAGTCTTTAAAGATGAATCCCAAAAAGCCTGCTGTCATTTCCAATAACAATAACAGCGCAAGAAAATTTGCATACTGTAAAAAAAATTATTTATATTGGATTTATTTATAATTCCATATTATGTAATATTTTTTACTTACTCTCTAAAACTGGAATTAGTTAAATTTAAATTACTAAAAATTACTAATACTTATTTTATAAAATTACTAAAAATTACTAATTTTATTAATACTTATTTTATAAAATTACTAAAAATTTTACTAATTCAAAAAGGCAAAAAGTAAATTACTAATTCAAATTAGTTAAAATTTTTACTAATTCAAAGTAGAAACTTTATTTATAATAAATAACAATTTATTTGATAAACAATTATTAGAAAATAATTTTCCTAATTTTTCATAAAATTTGTAATTAAAAAAAAATTAAGAATTGGAAATTAAATTACAATTTTAATTACACATAATCGTGTCAATTATTAGAACAAATGACAGTTTTTTTTCTATATATAAATAAAATTCTACTAACAATTGTCAATAAAAAAGACCAAAAATTAGAGCTTAAATTAAATTACAATTTAATTCCATTAAACCCCTTCCCAAATGAAAAAAAAACAGTTAAAATGAAATTTATATACACTAATTATTTTCTACTTAACAGATTAAATTTTGAAAGCACAATTTATTGAAATTAACAAACTCTTGTTATAAATCGAAATGCAATTAAAATTAATTTGTTTTCCTGTATATGCATAAATTGAATGATCAGATTTTGGCTTTCAATGAAAATTGTCTATGGTAACTTAATTACAAAATTGCTATAATAATTGTTAAAATGGTATATAGAACGATGTGAGTGTATTATATATATTATATGCAACAAACCGGATAACAACGGGATTTTAAATGTGTAAATAAATGACTACTTACTGCAGCTAGGAGGCACGTATTTTCCCTGAGCGCACCTATGGAGCCCGTAAATCCAATGACAAATGTCACAGTACCTATAATAAATAATTTATTTTAATAAACAAATTTTCAAACTTTATTAAATATACAAAAATTATATACAGACAAATTACTAATTTTTAAATGGAAAAATAAATTTAAAAAAAAAATACACCGAGAGAAATTATATATTTGTCTCAGAACCAAATAAATTTTATTTTATTTAAATAAAAATTTTCATTAGATTTAAATTAAAAAATTTTATTTGTCCTAAATAAATTTTTTTTTATTTGTAACAAATAAAAAATTGCTTGGCTCTAAGACAAATAAATTTTTATTTAATTCAAATAAACGAAAATAAAAAAATTATTCTCTAAGTATAGTGAAATTCAACTAATTATATTACTTACTAAATAATTTTTAATTAAAAAATTAATTTTGGGTTTTTTAATTATAAAAGTGAATTTAATAATTTTTAGTAGCTAAATATTAGCTAAGGTAATTATTAAATGAAAAATATTAATATACATATGAAAGAAAATTTATTAAAACTAAATAAATATTTATAGAAAAATTGAAATAAAAAATTAGTGAAAAAAATCTATTTGACTTTGAATAAAAAAAATATATAACTTTTCTCTCTGAATGTATTTTACATTGTAGCCCTTTATCATTTAATAATCATCGTTATATCAAGTAAGTAGCTACATCTACAAAGCTCATTAAATTTAATTGAATCTAAACCTAGATCCTTTAAAAACAGCCAATTACTCTAATAGTCCTCTTATATATATCATTTGATATTCTCTTTAATAATATATTCTATTTCAAAAGAACAAACATTTATAAGGTGATTCACTAGCGACAGTCTTTGCCAAAAGTCCAGCTTTAACTTTTGGGATAATTGCCAAAAAAAAATTAGCAAATTAAAAAAAAAATTTAAGAATTTCAAACTTATTTCTTTATAAAAATTGTTAAATTATTAAAAAAAAATAAATTAATTAAATTACAAAATTATTTTTTATTTAATTACTCTCTAAATTTGAACTAGTTAATAAATTACTAATTTCATGTAGCAAAAAATGTTACTAATTCATATTTGGGGAGTATTTTTCACATAATAAGTAATTAGTAATTTTAATTTAATTAATTCTTTTTTAAATTTTAATTAATAAAAATTAAATTTAATTAAAATTACTAAAAAATTAAAATTTTATTTTCATTTATTTACTGTAAATAAAATAATAATCTTAAAATTAGTTTATAAGAAATCTCTTGAAACTTGAATTTTTGAAATAACATATGTCTCAATAAAGTTGATGCGCTTGCAACTTTCAAGGAAAAAGCTTATGTATACATAAAAATATTTCTATCCTATAAAATGCTCAGTTTTCAAAACCCAAAGGACGTTTTATAAATATAATATAACAATAAAAAAGAAGTCAATGTTTCAAAGAACTTCTATATAAAAATGGAAAAGCAATTTATTATTTATATAAAAAGACTATATAAAAATTTTCTTGTACTGTATTTCAATTCATACAAAAAAAAAAAATGTCAAATTGCAATATAATAAATTGGCACTTAATTTAGAATATTTTGTTTATAAAAACTTGAATATTTTTTTAAATTATTTTTTTTTTTAATAATAATATAATTTTTTTTATTATATTAATTTTTTTTTGATATTTATATAAATAATTTTTTATAAGGGTTTTAGTTAAATTATTTAGCAAACAAATATATATTTTATTCACTTAATTTTCGAACGGAGATGAAGAAGACCCATTGCGGAAATAACGTCGGTATTTCAGTTTGCATGCAGAGTTAGCTCGAAATGACCTGATTTACATGACCTAATTAAGGGGGTTGATGGAAGTGAATGTAGAATAAACCATTTTGTCTTGTAAACACGAAAAAGAGAGATTGTTGGCAATATTTAGAATTACAAACACGTTTTATGAAGCAACAGCTGCTTTAGATTAACAAATAAATTATTATATATACTATAGCAAAATTAAACGCGCGAAAATGATTGTTCCATTCTTTGTTATAAAAAAAAAATTTAAAGAAACCAATTCCGAAATTTGAAAACACAATTATACAACTTTGTCAAAAATGAGAAAAGTAATTTTCAAAATTTGAAACAAATTTGACACGTCGTAACATTACAATTCAAAAAACACGTGAAAACAGTATAAACCAACTTCAAGTTAGGACATTTTTTTTACATTTAAAAAAAATGTAAATAAAATACATTTTTTTAGTATAAAATGTAGATCTTCTTCAGATCTTCTTCAATTCAATTATTTAACAAATTTTGAACTAAAATGATTCTTCACTAAATTAATTATTTTTAATAATTTTAATGAAATACATCACAAATTCAATTATATCAAAATTATTTTTCAATTAAAATTTTTATAAAATTTAACAATAGTTTATAATTTAAAAAAAAATCACACAATAAAATTGAATTATTTTTTAAAAATTTCAATTCAAAATAAACTAAAATTCAATTATTACCCGAAATTTTAATTCAAAATCAATTAAAAATCCAATAATTATCCAAAATTTTCAATTTAAAATTTAGTTATTTACCAAGTTTTCAATTTAAAATGAAATAAAATTCAATTATTTTCTAAAATTTCTATTCAAAATTAATTAACCAAAATTTTCAATCAAAAATGAACTTAAATTAAATTATTATCCGCAAAATTTCAATTAAAATTCAATTATTTCCCAAAATTTTCAATGCAAAATGAACTGAAATTCAATTATTTTCCAAATTTAAAATCAAATAAAATTTCATTATTCTCAAAAATTTGAATTCAAAATTAATTGAATTTTCAATAATTTGAATTTAAAAGCATATAAAATTTAATTATTTCTAAAATTTTCCATTGAAATTTTTTTTTTTTTGAAATTTAATAATTTCAATTATAACTCTAAGGAAATTCAATTATTTTTAACTATTTTAATAATATTCTTTGAAATTTCAACTATCTGAAACCATTTTTCAATTGAAAATGTTTTTCAAATTATTGTATTTTGTCCGCATTTTCTAATAAATTTTTAGTGAAATCATCTAAAATTTTAATTACAAAACACTTAAAGTTTCAATTAATTTCAAAAATCTCAATTTTAAATCTTTGAAAATTCAATTAAATTTAAAAAATGTTTTCCAAAATTTATTTAATAAATTATTTTTATTTCTGTAAAATTTAATAATTGTTTGAAAATTAACAATATCTTTTGAAATTTAATAATTTCTAAAAATTTCAACTTTAACCCTTCGAAAAGGATTATTATTAAAAAAAATTTTTTTTATTTAAAAATCTGTAAAATATTTTTGTTAAAATAAAAAACAAATCCACTTTTTTTTGGAATATAAATCGACTAAAACGACTTTTTGTGTCTTTAAGTTGATTCGAGGCCTGTGTTTTTATAATTAATATTTAATAGGTATTCGTTGGCGCCTGGTATCTTAAAAATTAATTTTTAAAAATAAATTTTTTTTCAAATTACTATCTTGTACGAAATTTCCTGGCGCATCTTTTTTCTCATCATACATTTTTTGTATTTGTATACAATTTTTGAATCAATATACAACTTTAAAAAAAATTTCGTTGGTAAACGTTGTGTACTTCAGCTTCGTGAATTGAATTTTCGAATTTGGAATTTTAAAGAAACTTATTCCGAAATTTGAAAACACAATTATACAACTTTGGCAAAAATGAGAAAAAGAATTGTCAAAATTTGACACGTCATAAGATTACTATTCAAAAAAAAAACACGTGAAATCAGAAAAGGCCAACTTCAAGTTAGGACAGAAGGACAGACCAAGCATTTTATTATTATATATTATTATAATAATATAATTTGACGGAAATTTATAATGTATGAAAAAAAAAATTTATTTGTTTCAAATAATCGATTACTTGACTTATTATCCAAATAAATATTTATTTGAATCAATTTGTTTAAATTAAATAAATTGTATTTAAACCAATAATTTCTCTGTTTGAATCAAAATTGAAATAATTACCATTTAATAATAATAGTTATTATAAATACAAATAAATATTTATTTGTATTCATAATTTTCATATTATTTCATAATTCATATTTTTTTTTGTATTTTACAAATATTTATTTAATAATTATCAAATAAATATTTGTATTAAATTATTATGGTAATTATTTTAATTGTTATTTGTTTTAAATAAAAGAAATTATTGATTTAAATACAATTTATTTAATTTGAAAGGAAAATTATTTGATTCAAGAAAAAGTATTTGGTTTAATTTATTTATTTGGATTCAAGTAATCAATTATTATTCAAATCGAATAATTTTTTTTTGTCAGTATGGCTAATTAAAATTTTTATTGAGCAAACAGATTTTATTGTCTTTATTAATTGTTGACAAATGGTTTAATTAAAAAAGAAAAATTTTTTCAAGTTAAAAATCAAAATTAAGTTAACAATTTAAAAAAAGTATGACATTAAAATTTTTAAAAAAGGTATTTGTTCTAATTGCCAATATAATTAAATCTAATATGGTTAACTGAAACTAGAATTTGAAACTATGATTAAATGCAGCTGTCGCCAGTCAATGAAAATTTAACTATTCAACTATAGGAATATTTGATAATTTGAAATGCATGATGTATTGTGGTCGCAATATTAAGTACATTTTTTTCCATATATTATTTGATTTTTATTTGAATATTTAATTAATTAATCATTTTTAGCAAAATTTTCAGTTCTTTTTTTTTCTTTCACGTAGGTTATTTAATTTTCATTTCAAAAAATCTGTTGCCTTGTGTGAAATTTAAAAGAAAAATTAGATCAATTTTTACCTCCCCCCCCCCAAGTTGTATACTCGCGCGCTAAGGTGCGAGATTTACTTACGTAATCCAGCAGCACATCGTTAAACCTCCTTTTACCTGTGCATTATTCAGATATATACGTGCAATTTTATCGTATTTTCAACGTAATTCCATTTTATTCATATGCTCTACTTGTTTTTCGATTAAATTTTCTTGTATACATATATATGAAAAAATCAAAATGACATTTAAAAATAAAAATGGTTTTTTCTTCTCTTTAGAAATTATAATTTTTTTTTCAGCTGGATATTCATATATTTTTTGTGAATTTTTTTTTTTTAATAATAATCAAAAGATTAAAGTAAATTGAAAAAAAAAATTTATTTGATTCAACAAAACCGGTTTAATAATATATTTAATATATTTAATAATAACAAATTATTATTTGATAGAAATAATAATTATTATTTGTTATAAAATAATTATTATTTGTTATAAAAAAAATTATTATTTGCTATAAATAATTATGATTCAATATGAATAATTAATTTTTTTTTAATATAAATAATTATTTTTTGAGTCAATAAAAATTTATTTGTATTAAATAATTTTTGATTATTTACTCACCGACTAGAATAAAGATGAATGCCGGATCAAGTGCAATGTTTGTTAGGCGGGACAAATTATTGAATGTATCTTTTTCCGTCCATGCCCAAACGCCCACCGCCATGATGCCCAGACCCAGCAACTAAAATAACAAGAAAAAATCATTGACATGAAAATTTTTTTAAATCAAAAAAAAATTATTTTTATTATTGCAAACAAAAAATTCTAATGAATAGTAACTTTATTAACAAATAATGAAATAAATTCTTATTTCTATAATAATAGTATAATAATAATTTATTTAATTATTGAAAATTTTATAATAAAACTTTGACTATATTAGTTACAATAATTATATTTTTTTTATTATAATTAATATAATAATAATTAAAAATAATAATAATTATTATTAATCACTGTAATAAAATATAAGCTGAAATGAGAATTTAATTAATTTTTCAATTATATAATAATATTTGAAATGATAAAATATATTTAATTGAAATTAGCTGCGAGATGAAATCTCCCTCCGATATGGTACAAGTTTCAAAGTATTTAACTATAAGAAACTTGATAATCCAAAGAGGTGCTCACGCGTAAAATCCCCCTTAGTTTGTCAAGTTCCTTACATGCAACAGTCGAGTTTTACTCCCACACACTGTGATTATATTTGCACCCGTTTTATCACCAATGAAGATTCATATATACACTTTTCCTCTTATACACTTATACTTAGTCAAGTAACTAATCGATACTAGCAGCCGCATGCGTCTTGACGTGTTCATCGTTTTATATATATATTCTTTTGTTTCAAACAAATTAATTTATTTGACAAATTTTTCTTTGGATTACAAAGAAAATTTATTTGTTTCAAACAAATTATTTTTGATCCAAAAAAAAAGTTATCTTCGTTTCAAAAATTTTTATTTTTATATTTAATTCAAATAAATGTTTCTTTGATCCTGTATCAATTTTAGAATTTATTTGATAATGAACAAATTTATTTCATTATTCAAAGAAATTGGTTTCTTTAAATTAAAGAAATCTTTTTTTTAAATTTATTAATTATTATTATTATTATTCATTATTATTTAATTATTATTTATATTAATTATTATTATTTATTATTATATATTATTAATATATAAAATTTTTCTTTTTCGAATAGATATAATTTTTCCTTATTCAAGTATGGTAAATTTCTAGGAAATATATTTTTTATGAAAAAATCCCTTTTACAATAGTTAAGCTTAAATCCTGCTCTAAAATATTAAACTTTCTTTTATATAATTTACATTGTATGTAGAAAAGGAAAAATTTCTCTCTCTTCCACTTTGTCTAACATATTCAACTATAATGTATAATAATATTATATTTTTTTAAATAATATTTGTACATTTTGTTTTTTTTTTTAATTTAAAAACTCTCTTGCAAATATTTTCTTTAATATTTTCATTTAAATTTATATTTGAAAATTAAAAAATTTTTTTAAATCAATTATTTTATTTTACGAGAGAAAATGTTTTATTATAAAATATAAAAGTTCGTTGGAAATTTATATAAAGAACATATTCTATTTTTTGTTTTTTGATTAATTTGCGTATATAATGAAATGAAAGCATTTTTATTTATAGATAATATATAAATGGATATTTAAAATGGCAACATTAAATTATTTATAGGATATATTTCATCGACATAAAGCATTCAAATCAAGGACGAAATTCGTATATATATATAGGTATATATATATTAATCAAAATGCTCTCTAATAACAAAATTAATAGCTTATATGCATTTGGAATTTCTATACATATCCCTCTCTCTATGTCAATATAACAGTAAACATGCAGAACAAATTTGCAATCTGGATACTGGTGATGAATATTCAGATATCCATCTGTAATTTCCAAATTGATGACATATGTAACCAATTCTTTAATGGAAATTTTGGAATTGTATCTAAAAATTAATGGACCAAAAATTTTTGAAAAATATTCTTCTTACATCAATTACCTACTCTTTAAAGAATTTGTAAAATTTTTAAATAATTTGAATCAGTGACTCACTTTTTGCTTTTGAATTAGTTTAATTTTACTAATTCGTTAGTAAAAAATTTTTTTACTATTAATTAATTTTACTAAATTAAAATTTTATTAAAAATTATTTTGTTTCTAACTAATTCAAATTTTGAGAGTAAAGCTTCTATTAAATTACAATAACGAACAATTATTGAAGATATAACAAGTGATTGCAACACTTTTTTAATTGCATTTGTTATTTATTGAAAATATATAAGTTAAAAATATTAGTTTTTTTTTTTATTCAGAAGAAAGGCATTAAACCTATTTTAGTGGTTCGTTTTTTTAAAACCGAATAAAATAAAATGGGACTCTAAATCGAACAGAGTTTCGCACTCAAGTATACAAAATGGATAAAAGGAATAATGGAGAAATCGGAAAAATTCTGTATTTATACACACACAGTATTTTTCTTTATACTTCACTTCTTTCTACTATGAATTAAACATTTTTCTTTAAAAAAAAATAAAAAAAATTTTTTGTTAATATTTGTATAGTCACGTATAGAAAATTGTCGAATTTATTTATTTTATAATAAATTTTATTTTATTAAATTAAATTTGTACCTATTATTATTTATTTCTCTTGATAATTTGGTGAAAATAAAAAATAATAATTAAGTTAATATTAAAATATTATTGTTGTCACAACAATATCAAATTGTTATAAACGAACAAAAAATTTGTTGCAACAACAAACTAGATTCTCGAATTTCAATCGAATTTTTAAATGACATAAATTCCAATTTACCGAATATTTATACGAATTCCATTTTAGCGAATTTTTATTTGTACGAATTTTTAATTTCTAGAATTTTTAAGACGCCGAATTTTCATTTGTCCGTACAAACAATCGACAGAAAGAATTTAGCGCAATTTTTAAAAATCGACGAATGATCAAGAAAATTGTGATTGGTCAATTTTTAAAAATAGCGCCGAAATCTTTCTCTCAATGTTTTGTTCGGTCATTTGTAATTTCGAACAAATGAAAATTCGGCGTATTAAAAATTCTATAAATTTAATATTGGTATAAAAATTATGCCAAACAAAAATTCGGTATCTAAAAATTTTAGTCAAATTGCTAATTCGAAAAATGAAAATTCGTTTAAAAAATAATTATTTATAATAAAATACTTGAAAATAAAAATTTTAATTGAATGATTTTTATGGGAAATTGATGCGCTTTGAAAACATATGTGAGAATTGACGAAAAAGAAATTTGACTCGTTTCTTATTCTTCGATCAAGTTTGTGGTAAGTTGCGCCACTTGAGTGGAATGTAAATAGGAGGAATAGTGCACTTTCCTTAGAGTTACCCCTAGGGAAATTAACAAGCAGGGCACGTCGATGCCAATTTGCAGCGTGGTTGATGAGTAACGCTCAGGAGACGGTGTTTCATATTATACCCTTTGCCACCTCAACTTTACTATATATATATATATATTTCTCCTCCCAGTTACAACAAAACTAGTTCGTGTCAACCGTAAGTATTGTACAATCCACACATACGTAGATTCATTTAATCGACTATGAATCCCAAAGGTACGCGAAAAATATAAAATTCAAGCTCTCTCCCTCTCTCTGGACGATACTCTATGTATACCAAATGCATGTATATTGAATTCCAGACTCAAATGAATACATAAAAACTAGGACAAACTGGGGAAAAAATAATTTTCAGATAACGATCACTTTTTTAAATGACCAAGATTTTTATAAATCAGAAATAAATTATCTATAAAATTAATGAAGCAATTGAAGCTTACTCATTTTTTTTCCCCGCATTAATATTAAAATTAATATTATTACAATTTTTATTTTATTGAATTTCATTAAAAGAATATTCATTATTTTTTAGAATTTCTATTTGCTCGAACTATTTTTTGATACAATTTCAATTAAACCCATTTTCAAAATCGAAATTTAATTTCAGAAAACAGAATTTTTCTATACAACTGAAAAATTTACTTCACAGAATATTCTAATTTTTATTTGTCAGAATTTTCATTTATTCGAATAAACATTTTCGATCAAAACATTTTAGCACAAATTTAAAAATTAATCAATCAAAAATTTTCTACAAATTTTTTGATTGGTTAATTTTAAAATTCGCTAAAATTTACTGACGGAAGTTAATTTTAAAAATTTGAGAAAAGAGAAAAATCCCCGACTAATGAAAATTAGAACAAGTGAATTTTCGGTTGTAGAAAAATTCTTTCTTTTCTGAAATTAAATTTTGATTTGGAAAATTGGTTCAATGGAAATTATGCGTCAAAAAATAGAAATTCTATCTTTATTTTTGATAAATTAATTTTAATATATAGCTATTCAATAAAATAAAGTTTGTATAAAAAAAAAAAAATACACGTTGTCGAGGAAAAAATGCTCTTTACATTTTGGCATGTACTTTTGTGATAAACATGTCCTCAGTTATTTTATTTTATTTAGAGAGGGGGAAGACGCGAAAATCTCCCGTGCAATGTTGCTTCTATAAAAGGATTTCGACCCTCGCTTTTCACATCGGAAAATAGTGGAGACGACTGAAAGTCATAAAAGTTTTGTAGTTGGTGTCAACAGCGCCGGATGTAACAATGTCAGACAGATATTTATAATACCTATATATATATACAATATATAAAGATCATCAGCCTCCAAAAACTTCCATTTAGCACTCAACGTGATTTTTTTTTATTTCATCAGATAGTTAAAATTTTCATTTCAGTATAGTTTTTCAATTGATTGAAGTGGAAAATTGTTTTTTAATTCTGAAATTTTTTTTTTAAATTCATTTAATTTGAGAGAATTCAATTCGTTTGGACGAAAAATTTGATATTATATATATATATATATAATACACTCAACTTTGTATAGTGAAAAGCTATGGGCGAGTATTAAGAGGAAAGAGGAACAAAACTGTATTTTAGACAAGCTACATTTTCGTGAGTGTTACTCATTGCATCCTTGTGAATATCAGAGAAAAAGAGAGAAAGAGTAGAGAATTCAAACATTTTTCTATTCAGTTCACAAAACCAATCACACTGCTCTCAATTTTCTTCTGAAGCT